TACAAAAGATGAATTGTAAATCTAATATCATGAAAGCTAATAAATATCGTATTTAAAATCTTACTCTTTTAAAATTATGAAGATTAATAAATATCATACTTTCACATTTTCTTATAATGTGAAAATTTAAAAATAACGCAACAAAAAATCTAAACGAAAACTAAAATACAATGTGAATATTCACAGTAAATAACAAAAATATAACTAACATTCGACAAAACAAAATATATATCAAAGTACAATGTAAATGTTCACAATAAATAACAAATATACAACTAACCTTTAAAAAATAAAACTCATATCAAAATACAATGTGAATGTTCACAATTTATAATTAACATACAACTACCGTTAAAAAAAACTAAACGCATACCAATGTGAACATTCACACTGGAACGTGAAAACATGAAGAAAAAAAATTTAAAAAGTAAAAATTGACGACTTCGATTGTTCAGTAGTAACAAAAAATAATTGTTTAACCAACAAGTATAGTAACAAAAACAACAAACATACAACTAATATTTGAAAAAATAAAATTTATATCAAAATACAATGTGAATGTTTACAGTTTAAATTAACATACAACTAGCCTTAAAAAAGTTAAACTCATACCAATATGAACATTTACACTACAATGTGAAAACATGAAATAAAATTGAATAAAGTAAAAAAAAAAATGACTTTGATTGTTCAATGGCAATAAAAATAATTGTTCAACCAACAAGTATAGTGACAAACAATATATAAAAAATATCAAATAGTTCTTATATATTTTGACGCACATTTTTAGAAAAATCTGTATATAATCAATTCTGGCATAATACTAGTGAATAAACTAAACAATATTGATGACTACACAAACCGACAGGGAGACTACGGTTTAAGTATAACAATAGTAAAAAATGATTGTTCATCGCCAATTTGTCATCATCTCTATTGCGAGTCTACCATCATCTTTATCATCAGTCTATATATACAACTAATCTTCTCTTCTAAATGTTCTTCTATGATAGAAGCTTATTGTAAAATAATGGTGAATTAAGATCTTTGATAAAGTAAATCCCTCACATTGAGGCAAACAAAACACTAAGAATAATAATCTTCTATATTTACATACAATATTTTACAGGGCACTTGGGCGAAAAGTCTAATTTTCAATTTTTTTTAGCCAAAGGTCCAGGCGCTAGAATACTTTGTCCAAAAGGACAAGCTTGGACAAAATGACCAACATGCCCCTAACTCTCTCTCTTTCTCTCTCCAAACCCTAACCCTCTCTCTCTTATAGTCACCAGAGTCGTCGGAGTCGCTGCTCGATCTCTTGATTGCATCGCACCACTAGCGAACTACCGCAACACCTCTTCCTTTTCCATTGTCCTCCATCGCGGAAGGCCTAAAGAAAAAGATTAGAAGCAACTCTTCGCCACCAACAACTGTTCTGTCTGGCGAAGTCGGTGTTGTACTCTTATACGGCGATGAACAAAGTGGCAGTGGTGGTGGATCTAGATCCTTCAAAGCTCGACAAAAATAGCATCGCACTAGTTCACTCTGGCGTTGGTACATAGTATTTCAAGGTTCTCAGTCTACTCTAGGTCTTCACCTGTAGAGAAACCTTAATCTAAGACAATCATCTACCGCACCAACTCCTCCCTTTGTGGTTTATGGCGAACTCCGGCGATGGAAGTCAACTCTAGCGAGTAATGCTCTGTCTGGTGTTCGTCGATACTGAATATCGACCTATCCATCCTCAAACCTCAACTAAATCCTACCTTGTAGGGTCTTCAAATGTCTGCATAGATGCACTATAGATGCATTAAATGAGCATTCCGTAGTGTGTGTATCAGCATATGTGTATAAAGATCCAAGTAATCCATAATTTTGGGTTTAGGGTTCAACCTTCGTATTCATGCTATTTGTGTAACTATGTACATCGCTAGATCTGCTTTGGCGAGGTCTTTGGCCACTCGGAGCTTGGCATTCAAGATGACTATAAGGCCAAATACATTTTAATTGCAAAATAACCTAAAATACAGATCTATTGAACGAAAACCCTAGAATACAGATATGTTTTTATAGATAATTTTTTGTTGTTGTTGTTGTTGTTGTTGCTATTGATCATGCCTCCCTAATGATAACTTTTTCTTTTCTTTTTTGAACAGATATATATTGGATTTGGCTGTTCAGATCTGTAAAATTGTTTTTTTTTTTATCTGTTTTGTGTTGTTGTTTTTTTATCTGTTAGTGTGTTGTTATTTTTTTTATCTATTGGTGTGTTGTTGTGGATAATTCCAATAGATAGAAAACAAGTTTGTGAAATTTCAAACATATAGGAAAATAGGCCTTCAATTTGAACCGATAGAGAAAAAAAAAAAAAGGAGAAATAGTCAAAAAAAAATTGAATTGATAGAAATAAACATTTGAACAAATAGAAAAAAAATTAAACAGATAGATATAAATTTCAACAGATAGTCAAAAAAGTTAGCCGATAAAAAAAAGTCAACAGATAAAAGATCTATTAGAATTTAAGTTCAAATGGATGATATTAGGTGAAATATAAATAGGTTATAAGTGCTCTAAATAAAATTTATAAATAAATTTTTATAATGGTTAAAGTTGAAGATTTAAATAGGAAAAAAAAAATTAAATAGTTACATGTGCTTCCATTGATGAATTAAAAAAGATTATATTAAAAACTAAAATAAAGTTGGGGACTTACTGCCCGTCAAATTTAATGATTTGATAATCTATTGAAATATTTAAGAAAATTCTCTCTCTTCTTTCTCTAATCATTAGTCAATTATATCTTTTACATATTATTAGATTTATTAATTTCTTATTAAATAATTTATTCTAATTCCTTTCTTTTCTTCTAATTTTATTTTATTAAATTGACTCTATAATAATTGCTTCAACATATTCATCATTTTTTTTCTTTTTCTCAAAATTTTTTGAAGAACTCAAGAATAAAATCAAAAAAAAAATGATTGAAAAGAAAAATCCAACAAAACAGAAAAACTGAAGAATAAACCAGTAAAAAGTAGGGGAAATTGCAAATATATGAAACATTGCAACTTTAACACACAAAAAGAATTGTACACACTAAATTACACCATCATTTTTTTTTTTTTTAACATGAAAAAAAGGGCTCTGTGGTGTCATCATGGCCCCTGTGGGCCCTAGTCCCGGGGTAACCGGTTGCCAGCCAGAAATTAACCCTCACCAAGTGAGGGACCCACCACCAGGGCACCAGTGGAGGGCAGACACACGCCGCAACAGAGCCTAGAAACGAGGGGAATAAAGGGTGAGCTCTCCATAGAGATAACAAACAGCCCCCTCCCAGAAATCGAACCTGAGTCTCCGCTGGGGAACATGCTGCGTCCTTCCACCAGGCCACCAACCCTGGTGATAAATTACACCATCATAAGAATATAATTTTTCCCACTGTTGCACGTAATTGCAATTTCCCCAAAGTTACAAACAACATGAGTGCAAAGTGGGTCATTGCCAGCCACTGAGATGAGACGCCATTATTGACTTCTTTCATTGCTTTCACTTTAGTTAAAGGTGCCGAAAAATCATTTGTCCATTTGAATAATTAAACCAGTTATTTATGCATTGCCTGGTTTGTATTGAGTTTACAACCTTTACCTACCAAACTTGTTCCTTCAGCCTGTTTTTCCATCCCTGTATTTCTTCCTTTCTTACCTTTGCAGAGGTTGTTCAACATTGTTTTTGATCTCTGTATTGCTCGGTTTCATTACCTTTGCTTCTTTCAGAACAAACACCATGGATGTATTTGGGATCTTTATCTCTCCATTCATACAAGCTATGGTTGATAAATTGTCCTCTTATTTTAACAACTTAGTGAGCACAGCGGACGTCGGCGCTGGCATCCAGAATCTAAAGAAGGCATTAGAGGAATTAGAGACTCTGTTGGCTGATGCAGAGAACAAGCAAGTGTACGACAAGGATATCAAAAAGTGGCTTGAAGAGGTTTACCATTTGGCTTACGATGCAGATGACTTATTGGATGATTTTGCTGCTGAAGCTCTCGAAAGGAAGCTAATGGAGGAGGAGACGACGATGGGAAGAAGATCAGCTAAGTTTCCACGCCTCTTTTCTATTGTTCCATTCAATTTAAAAAATGGGTCTAAGCTAAATGAGATTACTAGTCAATTACAAGAAGTTGCTACAAAAGGAAAAGATCTTGGTTTGGATAGAAGACTTGTTGGACGGATGTCTACAGATTTACGGCAGAGATCACAAACTACATGTTTGAAGGAGCCTCACATTCATGGCAGAGATGAAGACATCAAGCAAATTATCGAATTGCTACTTGGGGATGCACCTGCTGGAAAATTTTTTGATGTAATTCCTATTGTAGGAATGGGTGGGATCGGCAAGACTACACTAGCTCAGCACATTTACAATGACAACCGACTGGAAAATCATTTCAATCTAAAAGCATGGGTATGTGTATCTGATGACTTTGAAGTTATGAGAATAACAAAGGCAATTCTCGAGTCGTTCACTCACGGTTCATGTAATTTAAGTAACTTAAATGAGGTTCAAGTTCAACTTAGCAAAACTTTGGCAGGGAAAAAGTTTTTGCTTGTCCTAGATGATGTGTGGGACTATGGACGTGATGGGTGGAATTTGTTGCGATCCCCATTTGGAGCTGGAGCACCTGGAAGTAAAATCATTGTGACAACGCGAGACAGAGGTGTTGCAAATCAGATGGGAATGGATAAATATCACAATTTGCACAACTTATCAGATGACGATTGTTGGTTAATCTTTGCCCAACATGCATTTGAGAACAGAAATATCATGGAATGCCCAGAATTGGTATCAATTGGTAAGAAAATTGTTGAGAATAGGTGCAGAGGCTTACCCTTGGCAGCAAGGGCCCTTGGCAGCTTATTATGCTGTAAACAAGAAGAACACGAATGGAGAGAGATACTAGACTGTAAAATATGGAACGAGGAAAGTGGCATTCTCACAGCACTGAAATTGAGCTACCTTCATCTCCCTATCCATTTGAAGAGGTGCTTTTCCTACTGTGCAATTATCCCAAAGGACTACGAATTCACGGTGGAATTAGTCTTGCTATGGATTGCTGAAGGTTTAATTGAGCAACCAAAAGGTGGAGACCGAATGGAAGATTTAGGCCTCGAGTATTTTCACGAATTGGTGTCAAGATCATTTTTTCAACCGTCAAGTGGTGACGAATCGCAATTCATAATGCATGACCTCATCAATGATTTGGCTCAAGATGTTGCAGGGGACAAATGTTTTAGGCTGGAAAATAATTTAGAGGGTGGCAAGATTTCGGACAAAGCGCGTCATGCATCTTATGTTCCTAGCCGTTATGATGGAATCAAAAAATTTAAAGCTTTCGATGATGCTAAATGCTTACGAACGTTCTTAGAATTTTTGCCACAACAACAATTTCACCGTGTAACGAGGTACTTGATACATGATTTGTTGCCAAAGTTAAAATGCTTACGTGAGGTGCGTTTGTGTAGTATTGGTATAATTGAACTACCAGATTCCATTGGAGATCTAAAGCATTTGCGGTATCTTGATGTATCCGGTTCTGGGATTAGAAGGTTACCTGACACAGTGGCAACTCTTTACAATTTACAAGTCTTGTTTTTGACATTTTGTCATCAACTTCAGAAGTTGCCTCTAAACATGGGGAGGCTGGTGAACTTGCGCCATTTTGACATGACTGGCGTGCATATTCCATCATCAGAAGAGATGTCACTACATATAGGTAAATTAATTAATCTCCAAACATTGTCAAATTTTATGGTGGGTAAAGATTGTGGACGTAAAATAGGAGAGTTGAAAAACCTGTCACACATTCAAGGGGCAATACACATATCAAGACTAGAGAATGTCAGTGGTGTTAAGGATGCAAGGGATGCCAATTTAATGTCTAAGGAGAAGTTAAAAGAGTTATCACTAGAATGGGATGAATCTCATTGTTCACAGAATGACATAGTTGAGAGGAATGTGCTTGACGTGATGAGACCTTTCAAATTGTTGGAGCGACTCACCATCAGTGGGTATTGCAGTACAAAATTTCCAAACTGGGTTGGAGATGTTTCATTCTCCAAAATGGAGTCCATGCAATTGAAAGGTAGCAAATGTTGCACATCTTTGCCACCACTTGGACAACTACCCTTGCTTAAAGACCTTTACATTGAAGGAATGAGTGCAATAAAGCACCTGGGTTGTGAGTTCTATGGGCAGCAGTGTGGTGCCAAACCTTTCCGATCTCTAGAGAGACTGAGGTTTGAGTTTATGCCAGAATGGGAGGATTGGTCTGCTTTTGAAACAGAAGGAGTTCAGCCATTCGGTCATCTCAGCGAGCTTACCATCATAAATTGTCCCAAACTTGTTGGAAGATTACCAAATGATCTTCCTTGTCTGAACTCTCTCAAAATTGATGGTTGTCCGCAGTTGTTGATTGATGTTTCGAGCCTCATTCACCCATCACTTGCGTCCTTGTCAATGAATAATGTTATGCTCCCAAGCCTTCCATCACTCTTAGGGACGAAGAACACGATTGAACTTGGTTCCCTCACCTTGGATATAAGACATGTTACAGTTCCCGACTCCCTCTGCGATCCAAGCACATCTGATGAAGAGTTACTGGCTAATGAAATGTCTAAGCATTTGCCTTCAATAACTACTTTGAGCATTTCTCATGTTGAAAAACTGGCATTCCTACCGGCATGGTTTACTCGTGATTTGACAAGACTCAAGAACTTGGACATTCATAACTGCCAAGAACTCATAACATTGTGGCAGAATAAGATGAGAATACAAATATGTCTCCCTTCCCTCTGCCATTTGAAGATTTCTCATTGCCCCAAACTAGTTTGCTTGTTTGAAGAAGAGCAAGAAAAAGGAGAAGAAGGTTCGAAAAAGCAGCAACATGAGGGGCTGCCTTGCATGAAGAGACTCGAGAACTTGGACATTCATAACTGCCACGAACTCGTAACATTGTGGCGGAATAAGACAAGAATACAAGTATGTCTCCCTTCCCTCAGCCATTTGAAGATTTATGATTGCCCCAAACTGGTTTGCTTGTTTGAAGAAGAGCAAGAAAAAGGAGGAGAAGGTTCGAAAAAGCAACAACATGAGGGGCTGCCTTGCATGACGAGACTCGAGTATTTAACAATTGAAACATGTGGAATGCTGAAGAAACTGCCACAAGATATGCACACATACACATCTCTTGGGGTGCTTAGAATTGACCGTTGTAAAAGTCTGATCTCTTTTCCAATGAAAGGTTTGCCATCTATGCTGAGACAACTTAGTGTTTCACAGTGTGGTGCTTTGCAGTCCCTACCCGAGTTGATGACACTTAATAATCTGCAAGAGTTGCTGGTTTCTGGATGTGCATCACTCAGATATTTATTGTCAAGAGGTGGGCTACCATCCACACTAAAACAACTTAATATTTTCTGGTGTGACAATCTGGAGTCACTTTTTGCAGAAGAAGGGATCAAAATTGATTGTCCATCTCTTGAAACTATTTGTGTTGAATTTTGTGGGAGTCTCAAATCTTTACCGGAAGCCAATAATCTCAGGAATCTCAGAGAATTGCTGATAAAAAGGTGTAGTAATCTGGAGCCCCTGTCACTTGGTGGTCGTGATGAGAATAACAACATCAACCAACTCACTTCGCTTCAAAAGCTGTGTTTATATATGCAGAGTAGGAATGGTCTCCTACTTTGTCAAGAAAGGGAGTTTCCCCACCAACATCACTTCACTTGAAATCGGGGATTTCGCCGGTCAACTTCCAGTTCCGCCTCCATCTCCATTAGAGTGGGGTTTGCACAAACTCTCTTCTCTTACAACACTCCAACTTCAAGGCCAAGCTTGGGTGTCCTTTCCAGAAGAAGGGATGTTCCTGCCCACCTCTCTTATCAATTTGACCATCAACGACTTCCCAAATCTGGAAAGATTCTCTTATGAGGAGTTTCAAAACCTCGCCTCTCTCCAAACACTTCAAATCTATGGTTGCCCTAGGCTCGCTTCCTTTCCAAAGGAAGGGTTGCCTCCCTCTCTTTTGCATCTAACGGTCTATACCTGCCCTGAGCTTGCGACCTTTCCAAAGGAAGGGTTGCCTCCCTCTCTTTTGCATCTAACGGTCTATACCTGCCCTGAGCTTGCGACCTTTCCAGAACAAGGCTTCCCTCCCTCGCTTTTGTCACTGTGGATCACGGGATGTAATCCAATACTGAAACAGAAGTGTGAAAAGGGAAAGGAATATTGGCCCATCATCCAACACATTCCCAGAGTAGATATATATTAAGTAGCCCACTGCAAGGTACAAACAAACAAACACAAAATCTGTCATACCATTTTTATTTATTTATTTATTTATTTTCTCATCACTAATATCATCTCAGATTTTTATCACAACTGAGAGTTTACTATCTACTTCTTTTGGATTGTAAGAGAGTTTCAGTTTGTTGTGAATGTTGAAATTACCAATACCTTACTGATTAAACACACTGCCCTATTTTTCAATTCATTCTTTATCTTTTCCTTTCAAATATGTCCTTCTCTCTTAATTTTCCCCTAATAATAAATGGATAATTTTCATTCTCATTTGTTATTTTATCTTGTATTATTCATAGGTGTGATGGAAAAATTGCCCTATTCATTATTACCGCCACTAGCAATCTTTACACATTTCTACAAGGTAAGATTAACTAATTCACCTTATGAACTGAGTCTTTCTACAGAAATTATCTTTCTATAAAGTGTTCTCTCTAAAAAATGATCTCCTATGTTTGATTGCAACTTAAAACTAATTTACTAGTGGTGGTGTTGGTAAGACTTTAGACCGAAAAATGTATTACACTTGGGGGAAAATTTTCCACCTTCAAAAGTATAAAACGTTTTTCACTCAAAAAGGCTTGTTTTTATTGACCATAGAAAACATTTTCCATTTAACTTTCGTTTTCTATCGTACTAACCGCCAGAAAATATGAAAAACATTTTCCAAAAAATATTTTCTGCCGAAACAAACAAAGCATAAGAGACGAATTTTTCCTAGGTTTAGCAAATATTCTGTCAAAGAGATGGACATTGATGATTGTTTTTACTCACCCTAAGCTCAATTCATGCATAATCAACCGCCATTCTTCTAAAATTCTACTTGTTCCCATCCATGCTTAAGTAAACAAAAGAATCCTTACACTTTGTTCTACAAGTAAAGTGCTTGAATGGAAGGAAAAATTTTACGTGTGCACTATGTTTCAATTATATCTCGAGGTTGCCTTTTTGTTAGGACCTTAAGAGAGTCTTTATTTTACTGTTGTGCATTTAACATGGATTCCATCTCATTGTGGAGAAAAAAAAATGCATGTACAAAAGCTTTGAACTATATAAATCTAGTTTTTTAAAGTCTATTGAAAAGCATAGCATCACTTTTTGATACTCTTCACGACGGTAACTCGCTCAAACATAATTCTTCTATTGTTACCATAATTGCAATTTTGAGTTGTTTCAGGTTCTAGTTTTAGTAAATTCAAAATTTACTGATGATGCGCTTATGCATAAATTTTGAGTTTCAGATATTAAGGTCTTGCTCTGAATGAATAGTTGGCAAATTGAAGAATCTTATTATCCTTAAAAGACAACAATGCTTCTCTCCCAAACCGTATCAATGATAATCTCTAAAGATGTCGAGCTCATCCATCATCCAAAATCTTAGCCACTATGTTCACGGTCTTTCATGCTCATCTATGGATGACAATCAAAATCTACTCTGTAGGCTCTGATGGTTCACTTCTACTTTAGGAACGCATTAGTTCTCTAATTCATCCTTGTCACCAATGTAACAATTTTTTATTTTTTATTTTTTATTTTTTTTTCAGGTGCTTCATTCACAATCCGAGCTAGGCATTGCCTTTTCTCTTGAACTTTCATTTTTCCTGTAATGCTGCTTCGATTCCACTTAATTGACAGAAAAAAATTTCGTTGTCCTTAATTTCATTATGTTATCCATTCGTAGTCCATACCATGGCTTCCAAGTTCATTTCAACAGAATTAGAATTCTATATTCCACTCTTGCAATTTTTTGGACTTAGGTGGGACATAAAAATTTGGTGTGTCCCATTTATGCAGAACATATAGCAATATCCATGGCAGCATGGAATGTATTTTGCGAAAATTAATCTATTACATCAACAATTGAAATGTTGACATATGATGTATTAGCTAGCTGCATAATGTTTCCAATGGCTACAAAATAAATGGTTCAGTAATTTGTATTAGTTTGAGTTATTTGTTCCTTTTTTAAATTGCCAAGACGAGAGCTAATAAATGGTTCCATTTCACTTGGAATGCTGATATTGTTTTTCATCTACTTCATGAGTACATTAGCCTACTCCACCAAATACAGATACACCTCCATGAGCTTCGACAATATTGTTAACCCTAAAGAGGACAACTTCCTCAGTCTATTACAAACCTGCAATTGCAGCTTGTAAAACTGTGCTTTTCAGTATTTTTTCAATGTTTTGTTGAAAATTTAAATAGAAAAATGTACTGACTATTGTATTTACCTTTTTGTTCTCAGGGCTTTGTTGTTGTTGTTGAAACAAACTTTAGGATGTACGCATGCTCATCATCTAAACTGCATTGCGAGTTTTTGCGCCTGTTCTCAAGGTATGCCCGAAATTTGCTTGATGAGTACTTTGAATGCTCTGTTCTAAAATTAAGGCTTTATCTAGTAATGTTGAAAACTCTCATAGGTGATAAAGGAACAAGAGTCAGAAAAAAAAAAAATATATATATATATATATATGATAAAGGAGTAAGAGATATATCAAGATAATTGAGAAGAAGTCCTTTCCATAATTGAAAAAACCTCCCTTCCTCCAGCACACTCTTAGGAAAGACTTTTGATCATTTAAATTTCCAAGCATTGCAAAAAATCACTTTGTGTTCTTAAGCCTTTCTGCTTGTATGCTATTCTACATTTGACAGTTACGGATCCAACGTTATTACTATGGGGGTGCGAAAGTATGTTTGGGGGTGCAAACCCCTATAATTTTAAATTATTTTAAATTTCTTAGTATAATATATAAAATTTTTCAAATTTTTTGGGGTGTGGTCACCCCCATCCGCACCTCCCTAGATCCATCCTTGGTTAGGAAGCCACCTAGTCTGGTCAAAATCCGTATGGGCAATATATAGTTACTTTGCCACTCCAAAAATGGCAATATGGAAGAATCGGTAATTTCATCTTTTACTTGATAGAGTAGTTAAGACTTTACAATAATAGTTAATAAAATGTTGAAGTTTGGTCCTTTTTCCTTTAAGTGAGCTTGAGTTGGGTTGCTAATTTCAATTTATTTGTTATTAAGCAAATTTTGGTCCTTTTTCCTTTATGTGAGCTTGAGTTGGGTTGCTAATTTCAATTTATTTGTTATTAAGCAAATTTCTTGCCTTCTCATCTCGATTACAATTGTGTTCATGTATATTACTTTGAACCTCTTATCAACTTATGGTTTTGTTTCCTTATCTTGCAGGTAGCTTTTGAGGATGCTAGAGACTGTGCACAAGAATATGGAGGTTTGTTATGGGAAGACTAAAAAAAAATAGTAGTACAGGCTGAAATATCCATGCACATCTGAGAATTCCCTTGTCATCAAAGGCAATAGATTCTGTGTGCAATCTGCAAGAAAGGATTTAAAAGGATTTGAATGTCTGGTCTGTGATGATTTGGAAAGTTAGATGGATTCCATGTTGATGCTAAAGTTTGCTCTCTTGTTGATGAAAGCACTAGTGTCTGGAATGGAATGAAGCTCTCATTAGATAATGTTTTTTTGTATTTTGAAGCTGAGTTGATATGTAAAATCGCTTTTTGCCCAAGGCTTGCTGATGATATACTGGTTTGGCACTTTACTAAAAATGGCCTTCTTTTTTTTGTTAATCTGCATATCATTTGGAGATGGATTTGCAAAGAAAAGAAAAACAGGTCAGTTCTTCAAATAGTGCAAGTTTTGAAAGTGCATTTGGGAAGAAGATTTGGCTGCTGAAAATTCTGAATAAAGTATAATCTTCATATGGAAAATCTGTTCGAATATCCTTCATGTTCAGTGAAACTTGAGTAGCTACAAAGTAATTCAACTTGATGACTGCTAACTTGTTCATTAGCAGAAAATTAGTATTGTTTTTGGTGGTTTGAGTCAGCTTACAATGTGATTGACAATGTTAGCATTGTAGTCCTTCACATTCTTCATTTGTAGGTGTGGTTAGGTGGCTGATTTTTTTAGAACTTAACTTCCTTCTTTTTTGTGCCACATGGCCTAATTGAGTTTTCAAATGGTATTCACTTTTCAAAATCATTCTTGAGAGTATGTTTTGTTACTTGCTCATATAGATGATGTAGAAGCACAATGACTAGAACAAAGTTTTGATTATGTATTCAATTTAGTTGATGTTTTGAGGCAAAATGCTAGTTAGGCACTTGCAACATAATACCTGCCCAAAAAAATAAAAACTAAAAACAAAATAGGCTATTTTAGCCAAATAAGACAAACTATTACATCCAACGCATCATTTCATTTTTTCTCTCACAAAAGTCAAAAAAGCCAAAAAGCCTATCCCAAATGAGACTTTTTAACCCCAGACTAAAATAGCCAAAAAGCCAACCCACATCTTAAGCGAGCTCTGAGTCAAGTACAAAATTTTTCAAAAGAATGAAATACATGTATGTGGACATACATAATATATCTATACCATTTATATACGTATATTCAAAGCCTAGATCTCATTTATCTCTTAATTTCTTCCAATTGTTGTCATAATGGTTGATAATATTACTCCTCATTCTATAAGGTATCAACTCTAATCTTATTGTGGCATTGTAGTTGTGGAATGATTCTTTGCAATATAGGAATTAATATAATGCTGAAGGGCCTCTTGTTTTTTCTATGGTTATATGGAGAATTAAAAGCACTCGCGGATCTAATTTAGTTTCTCTTTTGCTTCTAATGACTCTCAAGCTGATGTTAGAGTAGTATTTTTTGTTCAATTTTCTAAGTACAAACTCAAGTCTTTCAATTTTAATACTTATTCTTAACACATAGAGAACCTAATACTAGTTGAATTTTAAGAATTTTGAAAAATCTCCATGACATTTCCATGCGTCGTCCAAAAGTTCAAGAATTCGAAAAAATTTCTCAATTTAATTTCGGGCATTTAAAGTAACAATACAAAGCATTAGGAGAATGATATTTGAAAACTTGAATCCCCTGGGATTATTAACTAATACTCTATCTACTTTCTGGTTTTTTCTTTTGCTCTTTTTTTTTTTAGTCCAAGTGAACCAAAACCCTTTGGAATTAAGGTCTTACATATGTAGTTCAACAAGGCAACCATTGAACTCATGTATTGCAACTCATCAAGATTGCTATTTCCAGTGTTTCCCTTTGAAACTTGAAGGCTGTGTTTCGATTAAGAATTCTGGGATTAGGGAGGGGGAGAAATGATTATGGAGGAGGAGAAAATAGATAGTGAAAGTGAAAAAATTTAGCTTCTATTAAATTCATTTTTTTCCCTTCTTTTTTTTTTTTCCTTCCAAAAATCCCCCTCAAATCCTTTATCCAAACACACTCTAAGAATATCCTCATCCCAAGTGGGGGTAGGAATCATGTCATGTCCTATCGTATCATCACGGGTTCGTGTCCAAAACGCCCAACACTAACATGATCCATTTAATTATACATGTTAAATATCATGACATTGACCTAACCTTCTTGTAAATGTGTCAATCCGAACATGACACGGCTAACATGGTTAGCATTAGAATTTATTTTAGATTATAAGTAGATTGTACATCTTAATTCAAGCAAACTTGTTTCACGTCACATTGGGTCACATTTGTTTGGCAAATTAGGTTGGATGGGATTATGAGTATGGTAGTATTTAGTGATGGGATCGTTAGTATGGTAGTATTAGAATGGAGATGTAAGATAAAGTGTTATCAAACTAGTAATACGGTGGTACTAATTCTTTTTTGTTTTTTTATTCTTAGATGGTATTAATATATAAAATTCTACAATTTTCCTTCTTTCATTGGTAGAATGATATAAAGTAAGGGGTAAAATTGTATTTAGGCATCAATCCCACAGGATTGATTTTCAATCCCAACTCTCCTACAGTTGAGCTACTCCAACCATATAGTACTGGATTGTTAATCGACCTGGAGTCTTAATCCTCCAGTGCATTTCCAAACCAAATGTAACATCCCCAAATAATAACAGATAATCCCATAATGTATGCTAGTTATGCAAAAACTAACAGGATTTCAACCTTCATTAATTGATTCTCTTGAAAACATTACAAAAAAATGTCATATGCATTATAACATTCATAAACCCTAGATTCTAAATCTATAGTATGTGACACATGACTGTATATAGAAATAAAAAGAAATTCAAATAAGTTCATGCCTTAATGGCTATATATTTCCAAATCGATACTTGGTTACAATAAAAGTGGGTCAAGTCCAAAACAAATAAAAAGTCCGAAGCTTGTACAAACGATATTTACAATAAAACAAAAACAAATGAGCCTTCAACTCCAAAATCCTCTCAAGCTAAGTCCTTGGTGGAGGCATACTATCAGTACCTAAAAGTTGGTTTCCACATAAGGTGAGCTAAAACCCAGTAGAGAATACCTTAACACACTGTATGAAGCTTAACAAAGTCATATGGTGAATGCATATGAGTGTCATTTACCAAAACGTTACACATTTCTCTTTCAAAACTATGCAATGCCATGATTATAAATCAATTCGTAAAACAATATTTTTTTAAAATTAGAAAGCAGGACAGTGGATACACAACACTGGGAATATCTAGGTACGTGTTTGCCAGTAGACTATACAAACACTACCAAAGCCATTTTACCGGTACTAACCGAAGGATTAGCACCTAACTGCACAGGTTTCTGGACTTTTACCAAGGACATACAAGCCAACATAGATAATACCACAACCACACCCCTTAACTAGATTCATCAAGGTATTCACCCATTTTTCTCAAAACAATACATTTTCAATATATAAATAAGAAACAATGTTCAATGCAAGATGTATGAATAATTGATTTCAATTAACTTAATCCTCAGGCAATTTCTACAACAATCAAAGTTATCATCCACCAATAGCCCAAAACAAATATTTCTATACAAAAGATAAATCTCCAAGCAACATATATAATTTTATAATGTCGATATAAGAGTGATAATATATATTCAACTCTGCTCTCATCATCAACAATTATATTCATATTATCATTTCAAAAGCTCAACATCTTTCCCTTTTCCTTAGTTCAAAATCAATGATTTCTAACAAAACATATATTCCTTTCAAAAACACTTTAAAAGAGAGATTTTCAATATGTAACTTATCAAAATAACCATCTCCATAACATTTCTTGTGAATCTATTTGAAAAACCCTCTTTTATACTCCCAAAACCAATCCAAATCAAACCCTAAATCAAACTCATAACTCCCCAAATCCCCACTCTTTCAATGAACACATAACAAGGCTAAAAATCATACAAAAAGGTTAAAAACATCTTTACCTCAAGGTTAGAATGAGAGATAAACAAGATTCAAAGTTTAATGGAGCTGAAAACTAAAACTTTTCCGATTAGAACGTTCACCTCTATGAGATCTACACTTTTTCCCAAAGCACTACGGCAGCGAGACCAACATATTTGAGTGTATAAGGATGTTTAGACAAGAACTAGAGAGAGAGAGAGAGAGAGAGTAAAGAAATCTGATAAAGAAACCTTTTAGAGAGAGATTAAAAAGTGAAAGAAATATCTTTTTCCGTATTAATATACGCACAGACCGCTCGAGCATCCAAAACATCGCTCGAGCATCAGACACAAGCAACCAAATCATGGCTCAAGCGCACAATGGCCCCCTCCCAAAAGTTCATACTGCAAAGATACCACTCGAGCGTCAGACACAGAATACTGCTCGATCAACTAACCCACAACTCGAGCAAAGAACACCCCACTCCCAGAAGTTCAGACTGCAAACATAGATACTAGGCGGAACCAAAGCCCGCTCGAGCGAAGAAAAAATCGCTCGAGCAAACTCAACAACAAACATATATAAATTCTTTTGAAATTCCAATTCCCAACCTGTTCAAACACGACCAATAACTCCAAACAACCAATTCCACATCACAACAAGACAACAAGGAGTACAAACAAGTACCAGATTCCAGATCAAAGAATATAAAAAGGTCAAATCTAAACCCGAGCTACTATACCAAACATGCCATTGGTGACCCCACATCATACACAATCCTTTCACATCCTTCACACAGCCAAACAAACGAGCCCATAAATGTAACTTATTTAAATATTAACACCCATGAAACATTTTATGATATTTTTTCTTAATGCCTAACATTACTCTAAATTGTAAGGATGAAACTTCACACTTATGTTTAATAAATTTATTTGCTTAAGCCTACCCAAAATATAATAAACTGAACTCAGATTTGGACTCAATTACCCACAACTTTGAGGGTTTTTTTTTTTTTTTGGATAAAATCATATTAATATTTAAAGTTAGACCATACCTCAAATTGTTTGTTCGACATAAAAAAATGAGAACTTAAAAATATATGTTTTTGTATTAAAATTTAATTTTTCACCAATTAAAATATCTCATTAAGTACTTATTTGTTAAAAAAAAAAAAATGACAAATGTATTTTTTTTAATTCTCCTTTTCCGTATCAAAGAAACAACTTGAAAACAAGCGAGTACTAAAAAAGTTTCCATTTCCATTTCCATTTTCAGTTTTATTTTTATTTTTTTATGATATATATACTTTCTATTT